TAACCTTGATGATTACTTTATATTTAACTGCCAAATTGTAGCATGTTAAGAGCAGGTCTGAGATGAGTCTCTCCCGTATTGCTTATACACTGGGCACAATCCGTCACAGGGTGAATAAAAAGATACAAGTGGACTGCTGTACTCTAACCCAGTACATGTATGCAAATATATTGAAATAGTGCACGTAAAGTGAAGTTCTGACCCATCAATGTCAAAACTTCTATTGATTTCAGTGAGACCAGAATTTCACTTGAACCAAAGAGATGGTCCTCTACTCACTGACCCTTAATTCTAGATAAATCATTAACAGACTAATCCCCAACAGGTCACAAAAGCCCTCAGGCATTTAAACTGAAAGCAGCATAGCTGAGGAAGGACCTTACTGTGGATTGTGAAAAGTGCTGTATAAGAAACATAATTTGTTTTAAATGTACACTACAGCGCCCATAGTATGAGGTGTTTTAAGAAATAAAGGCAAAGACAGGGTTCCTGCCTCAAGATGCATGCAGTCTGATTACAGATGTGATTCAATGAGTGACAGTCAGTAACAAAGCAAAGGAGTAGGCTGGAGAGGAGAAAGAGAACAAACACAAAAAATTTCATTAGATGGAGTTAAGGCTAAAAGTGCATTTGTAGGGAATGTGCTATTCCGCAAACCAATATTATTTCCTTACAAACATTTCACATCTTTAAAAGCCCCAAACATGTGGTGAACTTGTTACTTGGAGGTCAAATTTTAGATACCATCATTTAAAAACGTCTTTTTTATTCCCCTTCCTCCCCACGCCCCCCAAAAAAACCTTCTCAGAAAATCCCTAAACAGGGAGAGGGGCGTGTCATGCAAAGTTTCAAGACTGGTTTATTTTTGCAGAGCAGGAATCAATTATTTGAACAATTAGGTTTACAAAGGGAAAATAGCTACAGCCTTAAGCAGTTACTGTTCTCCATATCAGGATCACATGCTTACTTATTTATAGTGTGTACACATATTAATGGAAAAAGTTCTTCATAACCTGGTGAAATTAAAACTCACTCTCCTTTCCTGGCTGTATAGGCCTGCAAATTGTGATACTGCAGGAAGTATTGCTGCAGTGAGGCATTCTAGCCTCTTTCCTTAGCAGCTTACTAATTTCCAAGATAGTCCTCACCTAAATCCACCACCACATTGTTGGACTTGGCACAACCTCATGTTCAGACCCTCAAAAGAGCTTGTCGCTTGCAGAGCCCTCAAAGATGTTCTGAAGTGCATAATCAGTTTCCTGCATATTTTCTTCTTTTCTCCCTCCCAGATGGAGTTAGGCATATGGCATGCCATTGTGTCATTCCAGATTTGACAAAACAAACTGATTCATATTATTTTGCTTTAAAACGTAGTAAGTTTTGTAATGATTAAGTCTACACATACTGTGAAACTAATGCACTATTGAAACTAAGCCACTGCATGCTTGATTGCAGTAATTGTTAATATGATTTCTGCAATGCTAAGAAAGAAACTCTTTTGGGGAGTTGGCCTTTTTTCAAAAAAACTTCCCCTGAATCTAGACTGCTGCCACATTCTTTCAAAAGTAAATCGAAAGAACATGGCAGTTTTTTCAACCGGAGAAAACCTCGTTTTACGAGGAATAACGCCTTTTTTTCGAAAGTGTTCTTTCAAAAAAAGGCGCTATATAATACAAACCTTGCTTTTTCGAAACAGGGCATCCAGACTGGCTCGCTTTTTCCAGAGTACTGGCTGTAGTCTAGACGGTCTCTTTCGAAAGAGGCTTTTTCAAAAGTATCTTTCGAAAGAGGCTTGTAGTCTAGACGTACTCGATATGTCTACATTGCATTCCTCTTTCTAGAGAGGAATGCAAATGCAGACGAACAAAATTGCAAATGAAGCGCAGATTTGAATTTCCCACGCTTCATTTGCATAATTGTATCTGGGTACTATTTTGAAATACCCTATTTCGAAAAAAGAAATGTTGTGTAGACGCAGTTATTTTGAAAGAAAACCCTTCTTTCAAAATAACCCTTACTCATTATAAAATGAGGATCTGCTGGAATCAGTTGCACAACAGATCTTTCTAGGCATTCATGTTGTGTATTATGATGTAGTAACAAAGTTAGGCATTCATACACTAGGTTGATGAGCATGATATAAATGCATAGATAGAGAGATGAATTAGTCTGTGTGTAAGGACTTCCAGGAAGTCTTGGTGTTATGTTTGTATAGTGCCAGGTAAAATACAAATAATAATAATCATAATCATAATTAGTCCCTTTCCATGACTGATAGAGAAAATTATATTTCTCTTTTGGGGGCAGGGAATTCCCTAGCAATCTAATTTACTTGGGCTGGATTTTGACAGAAGGGTTACTGAGGGACTAACTATGGAATGATTGTTTATCACCTCAAAGCTCATGCCACTAAGTCACTGATCTCCTATAACCTATATTAAACATTTTAGTGAAAAAGAAATGACATAGTCCCCAGAAAACTTTAACACAGTAGCCTAACAAATGACTGGTTTCTTATTAACAGATGTATAGTTTTAGAGGGACTTTCATTGTCCTTAAAGAGATGAGGTGCTATCTCTCTAATATTGTGGAACTAATACAGCTACATATAATTGTCCTTTTAATGTTTTGAACTTAATGTTGTGTACAAAGCATCCCATATAAAATGTTGGTAAGGAGGTGGGGTCTGCTCACCTCTTGAAAGACCATTCATTTAAAATATAAGGAGGAGGACAAGGTTGTCTCTGGTACTGGTAATAGCTAATCAAAGATTTGCATATCATGTAGATTAAATCTTGGATTCCCAATGTGATGAAGGCACCCATTATAGAGATAATAGTTATATGCTCTTGATGGAACCAATTTTCAGATATGCATCTGGACTAGTGATGGAAAACCTAGGTTAGTGAGTGGGCCCTACTTCATTTCAGTGGGCTGCAAGACTGTCATACCCAAAATGGTCTCCCAGAATAGTACAGTTTTGGTAATTACGCTTGTGAACTGAGAATTTGCAGGGTGTGCCAGTTGAACCACAGCAGTGTTTTGAATGGATGCAGAGAGAGTGCCAAGCTCTCACAGTCAATGTTGCATGCCATCATCATGAACCTCACTTCACATGCACTTGCTTTACATGTGTGTCAGGTCAGTAACACCTGCAGGAAAAACAAATGTAGACGGCAGTATTCCCTCTAAGATTTTCCATCCATGAGTGGAGTGAGTTTTGTGGTGAGCACCAATATTGAGGTCGTGTGCGCGTGT